AACGTTTGTTATAGCCCACATGAGGGAACTTATAGCTCTGCTTAGAACTCCCCATGAACCTAAAGGTGCCCCTAGTTGAAGGATCAGCTTTACGTACACGCCGACCTTCCAGGATCCCTTGGTTAAGGAATATACATTGAACCATATGGGAGTTTCCGAAAATTAGGGGTACCTTACTTTAGGGTCCTTATAATAAGGATCCTAATACGTAGGCTACTTTCTTAGGGTCCCCTATTTTCGGAAACTCCCATATACATTAATTAACACATATAGTGGGTCCTACTATAATTCATGGTATATTGTCTGGTTAAAGGACATTACAAGGTTTGGGGAAAGGGTCATACCCCACCCATTTTGGGGGGTACCTACTTCTACTCTACAGCAGATCCGCACCATAAGGCTAGGTACCGTACCGCAAAAAGAGGTAGGGTATGACTTTGTATGCACCCAACAGTTAGGCACCCGGCTTAAGGAAAGTATTGGCGCGCTCAAATGTAGGAGAGGGTGGATGATTTCCGAGATGGCCCAAATGCCAAAAATATCGTACTCGGGATGGCTGTGAGCACCTAACACCCGAGTATTTGGGCACTTGCATGTTTAGGGTTGCACGTGCCCCCAATCTAAGCCCAGCTCGCAACTCTACTTGGCAAGTCCCTGAATTCAACCCCGAAGGGTCTGGGCCAAGTGAGTTGTAAAATCAGGCTAAACCCCAGACAAAAGCGAGCCCCTCCGTAATTTTGCATAACTTTTTTTAAGACAAAAACGTCAGAAAATTTCTCGAATAGCCCTAAACCCCAAACCCCTAAACCCTAAATCCCTAAACCCCTAAACCCTAAACCCTATGAGCCTTAATCGGATGGAAGGCAACGATTCCAACCTCAGTACGCCAACCTTCGGAGGTCTCCGGGAAAGGGAGGGGTCGGTGCTGCGCTTGTGGAAGAGGGTTGCCAGAGACTCCAGAGACAACGATATCTTTGAATTAAGGAATATACCTTAGCCTTAAACTCATAATAGGGTTCCTATTATGGTTTAAGGTATATCCCTTAATTCAGAAATAGTTAATTGTATACCTCACAGTAGAAGCCAGAAAGTTGGAACATCATTAGCCTCAGAGTAAAGTATAGGGAATCCCAGCATGAATCATCCTAAATCTATGTTCCAACTTTCTGGGGTCACCATAAATCAGATCAGGGACCCTATTGTAGTTTAAGGTATTTCCTCAATTAAGGGATATGGGTGCCTCTGGGTTTCTAGTCGCTAGGATCACCCATTCTTAGCAAGCTGCGCCCACCCTGAAGAGAACCCTACTGGTATAGCGTAAGCCCCATAAAGTCGGTTTTCCGGATTAAGGTCAAATAGTGCTGGGATTCCCTATACATGACTCTTAAGGATTGAGGCTATTGGCTTTCCAACTTTTGGGCTTCTATGTAATATAAACCCTTAAACGGCGTTAAACGGCATTAGAGGCCTTTGGGATTGCGATGCGGGGAGTTGGGGAACCCCCCCCCAGCCTTGGGAGAAGGATCCTGATAAGTAGATAAGTGTTGGGTTGAAGATCTGAGTTGTGGACTGTAGGTTACTGTGTAAGCGTTTGGGCTTTAGGCTACTGTGTGACGCAGAGGCTTGCTTGAGGTTTGTTTTTGAGGTTTCGGGCGAATGCAGTTTGCTCATGCAGTAACCCCAGACAGAACAGATTCATCGCGTAGCCCCCATGCACTCGAATCATGATATACACCCCACTCATCGAAGCCTTTCCTCCGGCGCGAGCAAGTGAGGCTTGCACCAGCGATGTTCCTGTCAGCACCTCGAAGAAACACAATATCCAATGTCTGTAAGCCCCAGAAAGGGCAAGCAGCAGCCGTAATCATGCACACAAGGATTTCTCGCCAGAGCACATGTACGATAATATGCTTCGCAAAATCATGGTATACAACAGCGCTGGGCCATAAGATATCACCATGGTACACTTTACATTATATCATACCATGGTATGCTACATAATGTACGATAGAATACGACAGAATGACAGAATGCCATAATACTTTATATAAGCCGGGTGGTTTAGGCTGGATCTAGCCTCGCGGTAGCAGCTTTTCTTCCTGTCTCACTCGACACTCGGAGCAACCAATCTGCTTGAAGCCGAGGGACTGACAGTGTGTACGTACTTTGAGGGTCGTTAGGGGTTGTGGTTTAGGGTATAGGGTTGAGGGTTTAGGATAGCGTTTGGGCAAGGGGCTGGTTTACAAACCCGACACCCGAAACCCGAAAGCTTACACCCTAAACTCTATACACACCTGTAGAACTTACAGAACCCCATATATCCCGTAAGGGAACCCTCAATGGGCTAGAGCCCTGCAGCCCTAGGAACGCGAGGAGCCCGTAAAGGAACCCTCGCAGCCCCTAAGGGAGCCCTAAAGCCCTCAAGTCCCACTCACCCAAAACCCCAAACCCCTAAACCCCAAACCCCTGAACCCTCAGCCCTAAGCCCTTAAACCCTAAACCCTAAAGGAACCCTTAAGGGAGCCTTAAACCCCTAAACTGTCCCACACATTTGAAACCTCGACGAATTCGAAGGTCTGGCTGGCATCGAGGAGTCACCACACCACGAGGAGATGTTGCGACTTAGGGGATTCTGAAGAGGGTGGGGGCTGGAGGTTCCTTCAAAGGCATCCACAAGGGTTCTATAAGGGATCTATAGGGTTTAGGGTCCGGGGTTTCGGGGTGTAATGTTTAAGCTTGGGGTGTAGGATGTAAGGTGCAGGGCTTTTGCTTAGAGCTTTGACTTCATAGTGTTTGGGGCTCGTGGTTCAGGGTGTATCAAAGGGGAAAAGGAGGGACCCTTAATAGGGACCCCTACCCTATAATGGGCTATATAATGGGTATATCATAGCTATATTAAGGGTATATCCCTAAGGGTCCTTATTAAGGGTCCCTGCTTTTCCCCTTGGAGTGTAAGGTTTCGGGGTTAGGCCATGGAGCTTAGAGTTCGGAGCGACATTGGAGTTTCCTAATATAGTACCCTATATAATAGGATCCTTATTATAAGGACCCCAAATTAAGGTACCCCTAATGTTCGGAAACTCTAAACCCTAAACCCTTTATAGAACCCTTATATAGATCCCCTTAAGGAACCCTTGTAGATCCCTTTTAAGGTACCCCTAATTTTCCGGAAACTCCCTCATAGGGCTCCAGGGGTTTCAAGAGCGGCCTGGGCAGTTTTACCTGCTTCCAAGTACTGTACTTGGAGGGTCGGGGGACTTACTAAGTAGTTATTTTAGAGAGTTATAAGTACCATAACCCCAATTAGGGTCCCTTTTAGGGTACTTATAACTCTGCTTATTCCCTAATTACTAAGTCCCCCGACCCTCCAAGTACTGGACTTGACTTCTTAATGTGGCTCCTCTAATTGACTCTAACTCTAAGTCCAAGAGTTTCGATGAGGGATCTGTAGGGTTCCGTAAACTCAGGGCTATCAACAACAACCCTGAGAAATGATAACTGAAATGGTCTAAGCCCCCTATGGTAGTTGTTTCTTGAGGGAGGTTGCTGTGGCTTGCGAGTCTTGCGGGGCCTGGAAAGGGCTATAGAAGTGGTTGTGTGGTGCTTTGTATGGATAGGTGGTTGAAAGGATCGAATTGATCTTGCAGTTAGGTGCGGGGCTTCAGGTGGTCCATGTACCCATATCGTCGTATGGGGGTTTCAGAAAATTAGGGGTACCTTATTTTGGGGTCCTTATAATAAGGATCCTTCTATTTTAGGGTATTATATTAGGGAAACTTCGGGGTATACTTGGAGGTTCATGGGTTCTTATAAGCAGGGCTATAAGTAAGGTCCCGTTAAGGATTGTGAGGGGTTTATAACCCCACGTATACAAGCCTAGGGTCGGAAATTAGCAATACGGTTGATGATATAAATTCTGAACGACCGATAATGAAGGATTATAGCATAATTCCCATAGGTTAGGGTCCTTAAGGTAGTGCAGGATTTATATCATCAACCGTAGTACTCCCTACTTTACTTAGTCCTTGGACAATTTGACAAGAATCTCACCCGGATATTTGTTCTAAACATGACGGCCCTGTTTTCTCTGAGGACTATAGCTATAGGATTCGTACGCTAGTGCACGAGGGTTCAGAGGCCCGGTCCCCCAAACCCTGAACTTTCCTAAACCGACGCCGGCGCTGCAGCTGCTTTGCCCTTACAGCTGCTTGGTCTTCCGAGACTGCACGAACGCAGCACCGTTTAAGTAAGGCATATACCGCTCTGGCTCTTCCACAGACACCTCAAGATAGTCATATAGTATATGGGTATTTAGTTCTCTAACTTAGGGTCCTTTTTGGGTGATGTACTCTTCTGGGGGCCCAAAAGGGGCCCTGATTTAGACAAAGACCCATATGGGGAAATGAATTTGGTGATCCTAATCGTCATACCCCACACAAGGGACTACAATCCAGGGTCCAGGTAGCACAAAATGTCCATGAACGCTAAGACGCACTGAACTGTCGGATGTAGTAACCGCTGAGTCTAGACCCTACACCTCTACAGCCAACATTGAAATCATGTAAGCATGGACTGAACCACTAGAAGCCTGGCCTTTCAAGGGTTCGCACGTCTAAGAACACCTTGGGCGAACCTTTCTCAGTCCGCAGCCCGAAACCCTCAACTTAGGGGCCAAAAAATAGCACATAAGCATAAGCATTTTATAGGGATATCCCTACCTTAATGGGTTCGTTCTAAGGGGGTTTATATGGGATATCCCTATCCTAACTGTTGCTTATTTGCTTTTTTGGGGGCCCTATTAACGACAAGGCTTCGAAGTCCAACGCGAGAGCCCTAATTACAGCCATTCAACAACTCCAGGCCCTACGCAAAAGCAACAAACATATCCAATAGCCGTCGAACCCTAAGGCAACGAACGCCGAAGAACCAACAGCAGCCCTAAACCCTAAGCAAACCCTACGCTCTAAACTTCAACCTCAAAGCAATGGACGGCGAGAGCCATGCTTCCGAAGTCGGTTCGACACATCCAGCCGGGGGCTCTCAGCATCTTCAGAAGTGTTGGGCCTGATTGACATCTAACCCTGTGGGTTCCTTTAAAGGGATCTATAGGGGTACCTTTAAGGGGCCCCCTTTAAGGGATCTATAGGGTGTTGGGGTTTGGGGTTTAGGTTGATGATAGAAATCTAACCCTACTTGAAGGCTCATGGGACTTAGTAAGTAAGGTTATAGGTAGGTTATAATTAGGACTAGGATAACCCCACTCTGGGGACTTATAACCCCAGTTATAACCTACTTACTAAGTCCCATGATCCTCTAAGTAAGGGATTGTATATATTCCTTACTATGGGCCATGCAGATTTATATCATCAACCGTAGTGGGTATTGGGGGGGGTTAGTTTAAAGGATTCAGGCTCAGAGAGCCCCATCTAAGGGCTCCTGTCAGGGATAGATTACCCTAAGGGTCCATGTACCCATATAGTTAAGGGATCCTTTAAGGGTAGCATTAGGGATCCTTTAAGGGTGCCATAAGGGATCCTTTAAGGGTGCCATAAGGGATCCTTTAAGGGATCTATAAGGGTTCGATGAGGGTTTAGGGTATCAGGGTCCATGTACCCATATAGAGATACATGGGCCCCAAAGTACCTATATAGGGACTACATTAAGGCCAATGTATATACTATATGAGTACACGGAGCCTTATACCCTAAACCCTCATCGAACCCTTATAGATCCCTTAAAGGATCCCTTATGGCACCCTTAAAGGATCCCTAATGCTACCCTTAAAGGATCCCTTAACTATATGAGTACATGGATCCTTAGGGCCAAGGATTCCAGCGACATTGGGCTTTACCTGGACCTTAAGGAACCTACCTTGTTAGGGTTTGGTTTCCTTTGTATAAGTCCTTAAAAAGCTAGGTTATTCGGGGTTAAGGTATGTTTTAGAGTTTAAGGATCTGGCTTCAGAGTTTAGGGTGTAGGTTTAGGGAGAAGGATCTTTATGTAAGTCGTCTTCAAGTGCTGCGCAAGGCTATACCACAGGGCCATAGCACAGGGCTGAATGTGGGGGCAGCCGACCCGGAAGCCCCAACATTTGGGTAGTTGTCAAAATTAGGGACCCCGTTTGGATACCCTAAAAAATTAGGTGCCTTATTATGAACCTTCGAGTCCGTCGTGAATCCTAAGGCCCAAAGCCCTGACCCTGCAAACCCTAAAGCCTCCAGCGATTCCTGAATCTGACAACAAAAACCGCGAGAGCCTTGTCAACCCCTGAATGAAGGCTCTAATACGGTACTTGAAGGTGTAAGGGTGAGGCTAAGAGCCCAGGCTCTTAGTTAAGGGTGTCCAAAGCCCTAAGCTTGAACACAAACCTAGTAGCTTAGTGGATACACTTTACACTTTTTGGGGATAACATTAACTACTATAAAACTGAAAGTGTCCACTTTTGGGGGCTGAGGAACCCAGCAACGAAGCAAAACCTTCAATGCTCCAGAAACCCTGCACCGTGCAGCACTAACTATATAACCCTTCAAAGCTGTAGGCCCTAAACTCTTCGAAGCCCGAAGCCCTGAAACCCTGAAAACGCCTTCTCTGCCCTGAGCCAGACAGGCCCCTCTAAAAACGGAGCTTACTAGTATAATATATTATCGTATAGTGGATTAGAACAGAATAGAACAGAAGAATGCAGCGTACAACATGATATAATATGACATAGCAGAACAGAATGTAACCAACTAGAATACAATAGAACAGAAGAGCATATACTAGAGCAGAATGTCATCGTATATATCAGGACAGACTATAATATACCTGGAGGGTCATGGGACTTAGTAAGTAAATGTAAGGTTATAAGTACCCTAATTGGGGTTATAAGTATAATTACCCTAATAATAGCCCTAGTTTCTAATTCCAATGATCCTTTAAACCCCAACCCCCCCATAGATCCCTTATAGATCCCTTTAAAGAACCCTTTAAGGAGCCCTCTATAAGTTACTAAGTCCCATGATCCTGTAAGCAATATGAAAGCTGCTCTAAAGGCGCCTGGCGCGTGTCCCGATACAGCGGGTGCCTGGGTGGCACTTGAAACCGCTCGTTGAAGTTGTTTCATAAGGCGCCTTCAGGTCTCAGGCATCGGGCATAATATATATATATATATATATATATATGTATATATATATATATATATATATATATATGTTCGGAAGGGTTCGAGATCTGTACCTAGATCCAGATCTGGTATAGATCATACGATGCATTTCTTCTCTTTGCTTCTGCATAACCGAGCTACAGGAGTCAGGATTTTGGATTTTGGGTCTACCCTCAGGGCCCAAGTACCTCGAGGCTCATACCCTACCCCTTTTTTTGGGCGCCTACTTTTTAAGATAACAGATCCTCACCTTAAAGCTAGGTATCATAAAAAGGGGTAGGGTATGAGCCTTTAGGTACCCTAATAGCGGATTTCGAGGCGCGCTCAAAGCCAGCCAGACGAGAGTCAGACTGGAGCTAAACTCTAAGCCCGGTTTAGAGTTGTCTTTCTTGAGGGCTTAGGGTTTGGGGTTTAGGGTTTAGGGTTTGGGGTGTAGGGTTTAGGGGTTTAGGGCTTACGGTTTAGAGTTTAGGGTTGCAACCCAGTTGAGACCTCCACACCTGCCTCTTGGTTACTTGGACCGATGGTATAGTATCGGGAAAGGGGCCTTGAGGGTAAGGGTTCCTTTCAGGAGGGATCTATAAGGGTTGGTTTAGGGTTTAGGGTTTAGGGTTTAGGGTTTAGGGTTTAGGGGTTTGGGTGTTTGGGAGTTTAGGGACTCGTAGGGAATGGCTTTCTACGGGTTTAGATGGCTACGTTCGGTTTGGAGTTTCGCACACGTCCAAGACCGGGTATGGAGTTGTTCACTAGGATGCCCAGTACTACCCTTATTTCCGTTTTGCAGTCCTAGGTTCCTTATAAAGTTACCTAATACCAAAAAGGGAGCCCTTCTTATTCCTAGGTTACTGGGCATCCTAGTTTAGGGCTTAGGGTTTAGGTTTTGCAACCCCCAAGGCCTGCAAAGCCCTAAACCCTAAACCCTTCGCACAATTCCAAGGCCCGGTTGCAAACCCCCGGAAGCCTGCACAGCCTCGATGACTGACCACCCAGACTGACCAATCCTTGACATAGGGAAATATGGCGTGCATCCCCTTTTCCAGCCCTCTCTAGGCGACCTTAACCTACCGAAACCTATTTCTGGTAGGATCTTAGGCCCTGTCCAAAACGAGTAGGTTTTCTGGGTTGTGCTTTCGGATAATTTTAATTTCCTTTAATTATTTCCTTATAAAGGGAACCTATTCATAAACAATTTTCAGGGTTTAAAGCACAACCCAGTTTTGGTATTGTAGGGAAGGGCATACTTATTCCAGATGTCGTGGGCGTGCTCGGCCCAAGAATCCCTGGGCCAATCCGGCAAAGAACAAGTCCAAAAACCTACCCCAAAAGTCCAAGTAGTCCTTCTGGTACCCAAAAAGGACGGCGGACAAGGCGGCCAACAAGGCTCAGCTGTGCAGCTTGAAGGGCCAGATTCGGGCCAAGCTGGAGGAGGCCGAGAAAGCTGAAAGCAGCAGGCTGGCAAAAATCGTGGCCATTCAGATGCGAGACCTGCGATCAGCTCAGGCCAGAGGATGCCGCATCACTCCACCTATAAAGGAGAGAAGCAGCCGCAAGGCCAGGGCAAGAAGCGCACCGCTTTTGGCGCATACACAGGGGAGAGCGCAGGGCTTGGTTTAGGTTCGGGCTCTAGGGGAACACCAGAACCTAAGGTAGGCCCCGGTGTAGAATGCAAAAAGAAGCCCCAACCACCGAGACTTAGCGCACAACCTGTAGGATCAGGGCCTCCACAGGAACTTGAACCGAACCCGGTCAAGCTTGAAAAGAAGCCTAAGGAAGACCCTGATGACCCAGGTTGGTTGAGGGTTCCCCTAGGTGCAAGGACCAGGGATGGATTGAGAGGTAGGCCCTTACCTCCGAAGCCACTTCAACCGAAAAATCCGAAGGCTAAGAAACAAAGGAAACGTTGGGCATCATGGTCTAGCTCAGGATCAGACCCGGCTCCTTAGCAGTACTTTCCGGAACCCTGACGCTTTAGAAAAGTATTCTAACCCGCTACAACCTGTTTAACTGAAGAAAAGCCCTTCAACGGAACCCTAATGCCCTAATTAAACCCCAAGCCGCGAACCACAAATCCTAAACCTTCAACCCCTATAATTCCCGAGACAAACCCCGAAAGCCCCAAGGTGACGATTCGGCAGCTCCAGGAACGCAGCAGCCTTGTGAGACTTGGCTGACGTCCCACATTTTGTTTTTTTTTGTTGTGGGTGTAGGGGTTAAGGATTAAGGGTTCAGGATTTAGGGGTTTAGGGGTTGGGAGTTTAATTGGAGGGTGTAGGGTTCAGGGGTTTATGGTTTTGGGATTTAGAGTTAAGGGTTTGGGGTTTGGTGTATACGTCGGGCTTAGACAGTGTCGGATATTGGGGCTTAAGGGCTCCAGGGTTCTCATTGGCTAGGATGCCCAGTAGTACCCTTATTCCCTTTTTGTAGTCCTAGGTTCCTTTTAAATTTTAAAGTTACCCGATACCAACAAGAGAGGCCTTTTTATTCTTAGGTTACTGGGTATCCTAGATAGTAAGCGTTTCACAACAACCTGAAGCAGCAACAAAAACGGAAAACAACCCCAGCACAGAAGCGCACAACAGCCCATTATAAAACACGCACAACATTGTGGTTTAGGGTTTTAGGGTTAAGCACTACCCTAAAGCTCCTGGACCCTTCGAGTTGTGTTTGTTTGGAGCCTCTGGGTAAACCCTAAACATCCCTTACCCCTTAACCCTAAGCCCCTAATTCCCCCTTAACCCTAAACCCCCAAAACCCTAAACCCCTAACCCCCTAAACCCTAAACATCCCTAAACCCCAAACCCCTGGAACATTGACGACATGAACCCGGGGACCATGAAGCACGGAAGGGCCAAACCCTAAACCCCAACCCCCAAACCCTAAACCCCCAGCCCTAAACCCTAAACCTTAAACCCTAAACCCTAAACCCCAAGCCCTAAACCCCCAAACCCTAAACCCCAAGCCTTAAACCCTAAACCTCAAACCCTAAACCCCAAGCCCTAAACCCCAAGCCTTAAACCCTAAACCCTAGGACGGAAGGGCAGCACATCCAGCATGCCCAGTGGATCCAAGAGGAGATGCCCGTGCGCCTGGCGCACAGGCACGGTGGCTTTTGAGGGTTTAGGGTTTTTAGGGTTTAGTGTTTTAGGGTTTAGGGTTTTAGGGTTTAGGATTTAGGGTGTAGCGTTTTGGGTGAAAGGAGTGATACGGTTTCGTACGTTTTAAGGGTTTGGGGGTTCTTAACCACAGCTTTATACCATGGTGGCGCATGTTTGTCTAGGCCTTGAGAGGTGTAGGGTTGAACACAGCTTTCAAACACTAGAATACACACCCTATGAGCCCCACAAGCTTTGGGCATGACTGGCGTTTTGGAAGGTTGTGGCGAACCCAACTCAGCAACACCTAGAGCCCCAAACCTGCATTCCTACTCTTGGCAAAACCCTCCCAGACAAAAGTCAGACACACGCACACACACACACAGAGGCTGCCACAATCCTGCTCTGGGCACTCACTTGGGAGGATTCCATCAGCCCGCCAAAAGTCTTCAGACCCACTAGAGATCACTGGGATCCAAATATAGGGGCATTAATTATTTATTACGTTTCTTATTATGAGTATAGTATAATGAGCCGCAAAACCCCATTCTAGTTGTTAAGGGGTCCCCTATACTTAATCCCCCAGACCCTAAACGTTAAGCCCCTAACGACCCTTTACCCCAAACCTCTTCACACCATAAACCCTAAAGCGCTAGAATCCCTTCAAGGATGATGTCTCCGAGGCCCAAAACCGCACTCTTTAGGGTTTAGGGTTGAGCTTAGGTGGGTCCGTACCCTAAGGGTCCAAAGGACCCAATAGGGTACTTAGTTTTCGGATAACAGTCATGTAGGTTACTATTTAGGAGGTTATATGATTATTAGGTACTTGGACCCTTATGGGCATAATGTAGAACTCCTATGACAGATCCCCGGTCGAATCTGCAAAGGAGCCACCTTGTCCACTTGTTCAGGGCAGTTGTAGATCCCTGATAGACCCCTTGAGGGTAGCCGTTAAAGGAACCGAACCCCCATTATAGATTTCTTCTAGACCCCTTTAAATAAAGAGACCCCGTTGCTATTGCTAAGGCCCCGATGGCCCATATGTCAGGACTAAACCCTAAACTTAAAAAACCCTAAAGGCCCCTATGTTCGGATATTCCTAAACCCTACACCTTAAACCCCAAAAGCAAGCACCCCAAAGGCAGTTTAGGGTTTAGGGTTTTAGGGTTTAGGCTTTAGAGGCCCTAAAGGACCCCATGTTCTGATAATACTAAACCCTAAACCTTAAACCCTAAAACAAGCACCCTAATAAGGCCCCTATGTTCTGAGATCATCTCGGCAGGCTCTCAGACTTTTTCGACCTGCCCTTCGTGGTGATCTGCAATGCGCGATTCCACGAGGCACAGCTTTGCTTAGGGTTCGACCCAAAAACCCAGACCCTAAACAACTCGGATTCTAGATTAAACCCAAGACCCTATGTAGGGTTTTGAGGTTTTGGGGTTATTAGGGCTGGGGTTTAGGGTTGTATAAGGGTCCAATGAGGGATCTTTGAGGGTTCTATCAGCGTTCTGTCGGTGTTCTATGAGGGTTTGGGGTTTGGTATTTATAGAGCTTGGGGTAAGGGTGTCAGGTTTGTGGCTTAAGGGCCGTCGGGTTTTCGGTTTTGGCTTATGCGGGAGGGCTTTGGGGGTGTTGGGGTCGGTTTCAAAAGCCGTGTCGGGAGGGCACCGACTAACCAAACAGAACTAGGATGCCCAGTAGTACCCTTATTCCCTTTTTGTAGTCCTAGGTTCCTTATAAAGTTACCCAATACCAAAAAGAGAGGCCTTTTCATTCTTAGGTTACTGGGTATCCTAGAGAACCTAGCCACAACAAACGAAAGCCCCAAGTGGCAAAAACTCAATTCTATCGGCAAGTCTGCATTCGTACGAGTGGATCTCCTAAATACCCAAACCCTGCTCACCTATAGCCCTGAAGTGCTGAAGCCTACCCCCCAAGGCCCTAACCTGCATGTATGATATATATATATATATATATATATATACACATACATACATACGTACATACATACATACATACATAACACGGCCATCTTTCATAGGCAACGCAACAAACCCTAGCTACACCTTTTTGAAGGGTGCCGAGTTTCATGGTTAGGGTCTCTTGGCTAGAAAACCAGGTACGCTAAACCCATAAAGGTAAGCACTAAACCCCAAGCAGGTCTTTCGGCTCTTCCTCCATGCTTTCGAGACCCTCGTGGAAACACCACCTGCCACTTGGGGCAGCATTATCCGGGCTTCAACAGATAGAATCAGCAAATTAGGGCCGTTAAGGCATAGGCTTTAGAGTGGCATTGGGACTCCTTGTCAGGGCCTCAGCAGATAGACTTTAGAGTGGTTAGGGTTTAGACCCCTCAGGGTCCAATTGCCCAAAAAGCCCGGTTTCAGAGTCCAAAAACCATTCAGAGTATGGATTTTGGGAACTTGAAACCCTACTATTTGGCTACTTCGGTTGACGATATAAACCCTGCATGACCCATAATAAGGAATATGCAATAATTCCCATAGTTTAGGCTCCTTAAGGTAATGCAGGACTTATATCATCAACCGTTGGACCGTTTCGGAGGGCCCAATTCTGCTGGACGCATGAAGCTCCGATCTCCTCCCTGGACTGCTGCTGCGGCAGCGTGCACAGAATTCGTTGACCCTAAGGATCCTTGTGCCCAAATGGGTAGTTGTCAAAATTCTGATCCCTTTTTGGGTACCCTGAATATAAGGTGCCGTAGTATATGAAGGACCCGAAAAGGGACCATAATTTTGACAAGTACCCAAAGATTATAGCCGAAATAAAGTATATACTATATGAGTACATGGACCCCACAGGTAGTCTCCATTGTAGGTCCTCTTTGGGTTTAGCCAGTTTTACATTTAGAACCCCATAATCGAGGGAACGCTTATCAGGAGCTCCTTGAAGATTGTAGGTTATCAAAATCCTAAGCCCTAGACCCTAAACCCTGAAAAGTCACTACACATCTAAAATTCCCTAAGCCCTAAATCCCACACCATAGGCCCTAAACCCGAGCCTGAGCGGTTGGGCTTGCCCGTCTCTTGAAGAAGTATTCCTTCATCGTCCCTAATGTAGGAACCGGATTAAGAAACCGTGGGCCTTTAACCCAAAATAGTAGGATTCATATAAGGAAACCTAATATTTGAAGGGCCCAAGGTTTCATAATCAGGTTCCGACATTACCGGCTTGCAGTGACATGCCCCAGAAACAAATTTGAACGATCCAGGCTCCTAGGCCAAACTTGAACCCAAAATGCCAAACCCTAACCCTAATCCCCATGACCCCTATAACCTTTAGATCCTAAACCTTGATCCCTAAACCCTAATCCCTATAACCCCTATAACCCCTAAACCCTAATCCCTAAACCCAAATGCCTAAACTCCAATTTCTAAACCTTAATCCCTATAACTCCTAAACTCTAATTCCTGAACCCTGAACCCTAAACCCTATTCCCTGAATCCTAGACGCTAGACCCTCAAGACCAGGATAAATAGAATTTGTCTAGCATGCCAGCCTGGCCAAGCCCAGCACCCCCACACCGCCGACCCCGCCCCCACTCCGCAGCCCCAGCAGCGCCAATTCGTCAAAAAGCACAAAAAAGTTCGGTCTTTGCCCCGAACTGCATCTTCATGATAGTTTCGAATTGTCATTAAACTCGTTCGAGGAGTTCCCAGCCCAACTCCAAGCCCTCACAAGTCCCCTCCCCAGCCCCCCAAGCCCAGCTCCCCGAGCCCCCAATTCGGTTGAGCCCTAGCGCGCCCAACCCAGCAGGCCAGCCCAGCCCGCCAGCCCTGTCAAACCAAAAAACTTTCGTTCAACACCCTGCAGTCCCAGCCCAGTCACAAGCGCCCAGCCTGAGCCCAGCTAGCCTAAGCCACAGCATCCCAAAATCAAAACTGAAAAGCAAAACAAAAACTAGTTGTGATCGGGAATCTTCTTCTTGTGAAGGACACCCACCCGGAATCCCTTGTCCATCTGTGTTGGCCTTCCGGAGCAAAAGCAAAAGGGAAAACTAGTTTTGCGTCTTGACACACACACACACACACATCTTCGAAGGATTCCCGACCAAACCCTCTACAGTGTCTATAAACCCTCCAATCTTAAGCCCTCAAAGCGTTCACCCTCGGAGCTGACCCCCAAAGCGTCAGCCCCCTTATATAGGGCCTGACGAATTCGAGACAGAACGCCTTTGAAGTCTTCATATACATTTACGAGATATACATATATATATACACACACATATACATCTACATATATGATATATATATATATATATATGTACATTTTATTATCGGGTTTAGGGTTGAGGGTTTATAGCATAACTTACCCCCTTCCACCAAACGGTTCTTTCAAATCATTAAGGTCTTTATGTCAAATCATTGGGGCCCTTATACTATTCCCAAGCCTAAGTCTCTAAGTCCTCATCGTCAGACTGACAGGAAACAAGTCGAACTATAGCTATAACTCAAAGTACGGGGACGTATTACCGCACTGAAGGGCTTCAAAACCTGTACTACTAGGGTGTGGGGGCATAGTCCAGTCCATTTGTGTAGTGACTACAAGATTGTCTCGAGCCCTGAGCCCTGAACGAAGCCCTCCTTTCTTGCTTGGAGGTTCATGGGTAGTTATAGGTAGAGTTATAAGTCCCCTAATATGGCTTATAGTTATAGTTTTCCTACTTATAACCCCACTTATAACTACCCACGAACCTCCAAGTAAGCCGCGAATGCGTAAACCTCAACCAACGCCCCCGAGTGCACCTCAATCCGAAAACGGCGAAGCCGGAGACCTGGGGTTTAGGGTTTAGGGTTTGGGGTTTAGAGGTTTAGGGTTTAGGGTTTAGGGTCGACCGTAAACCACCATTGGTCCTCATAGACCTAGTATATAGTAGAGTAGGCAACCTTTAACCATTTTTTTCGGTAGTATAGCCCCTATATAATCCCTATATAACCAAAACGGTTAACCTTTAGTTCCCCATGATACCCGACAAGTAGGTCATAGAAGTTTACTGCGACATGTCCCACAAACCATATTCCAATCGTTCAGAGCGTGACCAACGAGCTGATATCCTAAACACCCGAAGACCCTTAAGCCAAAACACAAATCCTGCACCCAAATTCCCAACCCCCAAGCCCAACACCCTAAACCCGAAGTCCTAAAGTTTTAAACCCAAAATCCTAAACCCAACTTCTAAACCCAAAAGCTTGAACACAAAGCGCTGAATGAATGCCAAGACAGGTCCAGGACTCCAAGGATGTGGAGAACTTCGCTAACGTGCTGAGAGAACTTGTTCGAGGCTGGCGGGCGTTTGGGTTTACCGAAAGAGTCCAAGATGTCCTTGTGTATGGTTTTGGATACCAATAATCGTCCTGAGGTCCTATGACAGGGAGTACCGAGACCCTCTGGCTTAGAATCTAGAGTTTGGGTGTTTTTAGGGGTTTAGGGGTAAGGGCTTAGGGTTCCGGGTGTAGAGTTTGCGGGTTTGGGGGTGTTAGGGGTTTACGGTGTAGAGCGAAGCCCAGAAAGTTGGAACATGGGTTTAAGATGATTCGTGCTAGGATCCCTTATACCTTACCTTAAGAGCATTAGGATTTTGATGTTCCGACTTTCTGGCTTCTACTATAGAGTGTGATTTTTTGGTGCTTTCGGGGTTAGGGCATTTGGGTTTAGGGTTTGGGGGCTTTAGGGGTTTAGGGATTTGGAGGTTTTTGGGGTTTAGGCTTTAGGGTATGTATATATGGCATCCTAAAAGGCTTCTAGAAGGGTTTACGGGTAGAGTCGAGTTGATATCGGTGATTTGGGGCGCTATCGGGCTTTCGATCGGATCTTTACAGGATTTCAATTAGTTCTGCTTCAGGTCTAAGGATGTTGTGTGTATGTGGTCTTCGTAGGGCGATTGGTGAGAGTATATCTGGGGTCTTGCCGGCTTGCGGGTGTTTTAGAGGTATAGGGTTCAAGGTTGGGAGTTTAAGGTTGAGTTTCACGGCCTTAGTAGGGTTTTAATGGCAAGACGAGCCACACGATAAGAACTTTCTTCACGTAGCAGTGCGGGTTTCCGACACTTTTCAGGCCGTTGGGCGGAGGGTTTGGTAGTAAGTGTTTTGAATATCTACGGATCACAGTTACGGTATACTGTATCCCCAAACCTTGTTCTAATTATTCAGGCTGCGACATTAAAGAAGTTTGAATCTTTGGTCATCTCCTCCACAGCAGCCTCCATGCAGGCACCACAGCTTGGCAACCCGCGAACCCCCAGCCCCGAACAATAGCCCCGACCTGAGGGCTACGAGGTACTTGGGCCATCAAGAGTACTACGGTTGATGGTATAAATCCTGCATGACACATAATAAGGAATATACCATAATTCCCATAGTTTAGGGTCCTTAAGGTAATGCAGGATTTATATCATCAACCGTAGGATGCCCAGTAGTAGTACCCTTATTCCCTTTTTGTAGTCCTGGGTTCCTTATAACGATACCCAATACCAAACAAAGGAGCCCTTTTTATTCCTAGGTTGCTGGGCATCCCAGAGTATCTTGCAGGCTCACAACCTGAACCTCCGCATCCCGAAGTCCTGAACCCTCGAGGTTTCGGGTTGGGTGGTATGGGTTTAGGGTGTTAGGGCTTTAGGGGTTTAGGGTTTAGGGTTTAGGGGTTTAGGGTTTAGGGGTTTAGGGTTTAGGGTTGTAGCCCTCACAGTCAAAACAACCTTGAACGGATCCAACTACCCTGCATGTCTAAATAGGCGCCCGCACTCTCTGAAGTTCCGAAAGCGCAGGCCATGACCACACCATTCACATGCTGCAGGCTGGTACTCTAGCTGCTTAAATGACTACCTATACTATTTTGGTGGGTTCCTTAATATAACTATAGTAGAATGGGCCCCAAAATGCTAGGTATTCTAATTATTGAGACCCTAAGCCCCTAAACCCCAAACCTTAAATTAAGGCCCCTTTATTACCGTTTCTTCTGTAGCTCCTGCGAATGCAGAGTCCTACAGAACCCTGGAGACCCAAGCCCGAACTAACGAAGCCCTACACTCCACAGTTTAGGGTTTAGGGGGTTTAGGGTTTAAGGATAGGGGTGTAGGGGTTTAGGGTTTAGGGGCTACATTCTGGTGCATCTATGACAACAGTATGTAATCAGCACTAGAGCCGCAAGTGCACCTGGAACCTTGTAAACCCTAATTAAACTCCTAAACTTTGATTGACGTGTAGCACACTTGTGTGCGAAATGACAGCTCTCAGCTTCTCATGTTCAGTCGATCGACGTCGTGGGATCTGATTCTGCATGTATTACTGCATAAACCTTCGCCATTTGGCAGACGACTTGCTTGAGAGAAACTTTCTTTCCAACCCACCCCCACCTAATTTATTAAGGTCGGATTAAAGGGGGAAGACAGGGCTTGCAACGGCGTGTGCCAAAGGCAAGGATGCCAGCAGTACCCCGGCATCCCGCAGTCAGTCAGACCATATACAGTCAGACCAGACCATCCGCAGTGCCATGTCGCCGGCGAATGCTAGCGTTACAGGCCCCTGCAGCAGCGCTTTCAACTATGTCTGGGCTGCGCGACGAGTATTGCAGGTTTTACTCCGTGATACCGTATCCCTGCAGCCCATTGTTGAAAATGCGGGATCAATGCAATGCATCCGCCATGTTATCCCATCCGCCGCCACCAGGAGTCTGGGCAGAGATGGCAGGCAGTCCTCAGTCAGACCATCCTCACAAGATTCCTCAGATCACCACTCAGCTAGTTTCCTAAGAACAGGCCAGTCGTTGTCCGACAAGGAGGCAGTTCCAGCAAGGACATGGAGACGCTGGTCTTTGCATCTGGACAGAGAAGAGACACCATCAGAGACATCCGGCCCGCGCCGAGCCCCGGGGTTCGGGGGTTTTGTACACTTAGGGTTTAGGGTTTAGGAGTGTGTTTGAAATCCGTCTGACTTGTTCAGTTTGCAACGGAAACCAAGAAGTTGGAGCATCATGATGCTGATACGTTTGAAGTAAAGTATAGGGAGCCCCCACGCAAATCGCCCTAAACCCATGTTCCAACTTTCTGGATTCGCTACCCCCCCACCTTACGACCTAGCACCCGCCAGGACACCCTGAGACTTTGTAAAAAAGAGGCCTAGATAATCACCAATACTATTTTGGGGGCTCCTTATTATAATTGTAATATACTGGGCCCCAAATTCCTATTCTAAATATTCAGGCCCCTGTAGAAAGCCTTCAAAGTCCTCTAGCCCTCCAAACCCCTGCAAGCCGCCAGAGCCATTAACCCTTGCAACTGCTATGTTCTTCTGACGTTCAGCTAGGCATTTTCTACACGTATATTCCGTAAGAGCCATCCATCAATAGCCTGTAGGACCCCGTTGGAGGCCCCAGCAAAGAGGCCTGAAAGGTTCGTACCACTACTGCACAAGATGCTGTCAGTAGAGTGTACCCCCAAAGCCCGATCCTCATCAGTGAGGGTCCTGCATTGGAAATCCTGTACAAACCCTAAAGTCAGAGGGCGTCCCTTTAAGCCCAAACGCCTAAGCCTCAGACCCTAATGTCCTAAAACTCTACACCCGAAAACGCAGAAACCCTGGAACCCTAAAGCCCTAAAGCCCCTATACCCTAAAAGTCTACGCCCTGAAACCCCTATAGTATAGCCCTGAAGCCCTCGACGTCCCTCAACTATATAGACCCCCTAGAACCCAAACCTCTTAACCCCCAAGCACTAGCCGCTCGACCCCAACACCCTAAAGCCCAAAGCCCACACCCCTACCTAGACCCCCCAACTACCCTCCATTATGCCCCGAAAACCCGCTATTAAGGGCCATAAGGGCTCCATTAAAGGGCCCTGGGTGGCTCTGGTACACTCCTTGAGTGTCGAATCTCCCTCTCTGGTTCTCTAGAGCCGGAAGCCTGCTAAGCTAGCGCCTGTTGGGATCCAGAGGTCTTATGTCCGGGTTCAGGGTTTGGGGTTTGGGATTTTAAGGTTCAGAGTTTAGGGTTTAAGGTCCTTTCGGGTTTTAGGGTTTAGAGTTTAGGGTTTAAGGCTCTTTCGGGTTTTAGGGCTCAGGGTTATAGGATTTAGGGATCAGGGTTGTAGAGTTCAGGGTTTTAGGCTTTAGGGCTTCAGGGTTTTAGCGTTTAAGGCTTTGTAGGGTTCTAGGTTGCTTGCAAACCACAAGGCCTCCGTAGAACCCCTCGAGCAACCCTTGTAGTATCCCGTGAAAGGAACCCTAGAGTCTGGCCCAGAGCCTCCAAAACCCCTTAATTATAAGGAATACCTAATGTAATACGGGTTCTGAAAAGGGATCTAATAGAGTTTAGGGTTTCGGGGACTCTAGTATCCTTTAATTACGGAATAGACCTCAAATCCTATCAGGTATGTTCCATGATTAAAGGGGTCTTGGAGTCTCTCGGTAGCCCAAGCCCTCGACGGTACACAGGAAGGCTACGGCGAGCTCCAGTCGCTTCTGGACGGACTTATAGAGCAGCTTAGATGGAACATGAGGATCAAAGGGGAAAAGGAGGGACCCTTAATAAGGACCCCTATATACCCTTAATATAGCTATTATATACCCATTATATAGCCCATTCTAGGGTAGGGGTCCCCATTAAGGGTCCCTCCTTTTCCCCTTTGAGAGGACCGAGTTTCTCTTGGTTCGAGGTCCAAGGCTTAGAGTCTAGGGTTTAAGGTTTAGGGTTAAGGGTTTAGGGTTTAGGGTTTAGGGTTTAAGGGTTTAGGGCTTAGGGTTTAGAGTCTAGGGTTTAGTATACTAGGATGCCCAGTAGTAATGTCGTTTCCAGATTAAGATACCCCCCCAGATTAGACGGGGCCGTCCCGGGCATTTCATGGGCTTAATGAAGAGGTCCATTAGACCCCACCCCTATAGTACCGGAGCTCATTTAAACCCCCCCCGATTAGACGGGGCCATCCCCGAAAATCCCCGAAATAAGGTAATAATACTATACTACTGTACTGCTTCTATAGAAGCAGTACAGTAGTATAGTATTATTACAATAGTACTAGACTTCAATACTACTACTAAACTACTGTTCTACTATTATACTACTGTAATACTACTACTGTACTACTGTACTACTGTACTACTGTACTACTGTACTACTGTACTACTGTACTACTGTACTACTACTTAATCGGGGGGGGGCCGGTAAAAACTTGAACCCATGAACAAGTTCAAGCGGGCCAACCTTGGGGGGGGGGGGGGGGGTTTGTTAATCGGTATCCAACATTACCCTGATTCCCTTTTTGTAGTCCTAGGTTCCTTGTAAAAGTTACCCAAACCAAAAAAAGGGGGCCATTTTTCTTCCTAGGTTACTGAGCATCCTAGTATAGGGTTTAGGAGTTAGGGGTTCCGTTGCGGATGTTCGTGTAAGTAATTTCAAAGATCAGACGATTTTGTGCCACCCAGAGCGGTTAATGTCTTAAATGAATGAGGATGAGGATCCGATTGTCGAGGCGGTCTGTGGTTGCAGGGGTGTGGGTCTATAGCCGGACACCCCAGCACCCTCCTCAAACCCTTATGAAGATTCTTTGCATCTTGCAACTCTTCTTCTGAGCCCAAGCCCTAAACTGCAGGACCACTCCCAAAAGCCGTGTAAACTTAAGGACTGCGCAGGCTGCAACCCCAGTTGGTCCTGAGTCCTGATGGACTCTTACATATATAGGCTCCAAGTAAGTCCCTTCTGTGGTTTAAAATTGTAGTCAGGAACATATAAGGCAAGATCACAAAGGGGATGGAGCGAGTGGAGCTATAGGTAGCCACTTTCAGCAGGATCCTAGCACACCCTAAACCCATAATCCTCTAAATCCCTAAACCCTAACCTTAATAAGCAACAGTTCAAGAGGATCCTATCAAAACATCGTGCAATACTAAGCTCAGGTTGGACGACTTTCTGAACCAGACGATCTTCACACGCATTGGCCGCGCGACAGGAGTTTAAGGTTTAGGGGTTTAGGGCTTTATAGGGTTTCGGATTTATGTATTGGTTTCGGTGTTCAGGGCTTAAAGCTATCATGGTCGCATGGGGTAGTGGATTAAGAGTCGACGGCATGAGATTCAGGACATACAGATGTAGAGTGCTGGACCCTAAACAAAGCCCTGTGAGCCCCTCATATCCTGAGCGAGGCAGTCGCCCTAAACCCCTAAACCCCCAAACCCCAAGCCTTAAACCCTAAACCCCTAAACCCCAAACCCTAAACCGCTAATTTCTGTTTGAGGAAATCGCGTTCTGGCGGAGCACTTCCTCGTTGTACATGAGGCCAGAAGCTCCAGTCGTGGACCCAGCATTCATTGCTATAGGCCTTAAAGTTATTACCGACACTATTTTGGGGGTTCCTTATTATAGTTATATTATAATGGGCCGCTTCAATATTATTAATAATTACCAACACTATTTTGGGGGTTCCTTAACATATATAGTTATAGCATAGTGGGCCCCAAAACCCAAGTCTAATTATTAAGGCCCCTATATTGGGTTTTTGTTCTGGCTTTAAGATTTGGGGTTTAGGATGGCGTTAAGGTTTAAGCTTGAGGGTTTTGTCTTATGGGATTAATAAACGGTTTAGGGGTCAGAGTTTAAGCTGTAGGGTTTGGTGCCAAGTTCGGGCTGCATACGCGGTTTACCCTAGGCATCCAAGGACTCATATATCAAGGCTTTTGGGCTCAAAGACCATACTATACAAGGCTTTTGGGCTATGTCGATGCCCAGGTTTCTGAGTTTAGGGTTCAGGGTCTTCGGGGTTCAGGGTCTCCCCCAGGTTTAGGCTTGGGTACTGCCCCCGCACTGAGTAACAGTTGGAGAATAATATGCATATTTTCGGCCGTCTATAGTAGCCCTATTGTAGACTGTTACTGTATGGGGGCCGTACCCAAGTTTAGGCTGTTGTTTAGCACTTTGGCTTTTCAAGCTTTTCGTGCTTTCGGGCGCTGTGAATTGGATTAGTAGGGTTTGTGGGAGTAGCAACTTATGGTTCTATGGGGACTACAGGAGGAAATCAGTTCCAAAACCTTCATAAATCCTTAAACCCTAGACCCCTAATTAAGCCCCCGGCCCTAAACCCTAAACCCTAAACCCTAAACCCTAAACCCTAAACCCTAAACCCTAAACCACTAAACCCCCTAAACCTTCTAAACCCCTGAACCGGAAGCCCCTGAACCCTAAACCCTAAACCGCCTAAACCCCTAAACCTCTGAACCCCTGAACCCCTAATCCCCGTAAACCCTCATCTAGGACCCAGAGTAGGCCCTTATTCCCTTTTTTTTAGGGTTGAGGTTCCCTTATAAACCCCTTTAAACCAAAAAGGGCACCCTTTTTCTTCCTAGATTACTCTAATCCCCGTAACCCCAGAGCCTCCAAAACCTTTAATTAAGGAATATACCTTAAAGTAGAATAGGATCCCTAATATGATTTTAAGGTATATTCCTTAATTTGAAACGCTGCGCGTCGTCCGCCTCGGCCCGGCTGTACGCACATGCGGCGAGTGGCTACTATCTGCAGCAAGCTCTTGTAGGAAAAAAGTAACAGTTGGAATCGCACTTATAGTAAAAGTAATGTTCATAGCAACACGAAGCAGGATGATTGTGAGTAGTATTAGTAGTGGTAGTATCAGTACGAATTTTGGTGTCGTCATTCCGAAACACTGGATACCAAGACTCTCGCAAGCGGCGGGATGCCTTAAGTATGTGCCGTTGAGGCTGTGGATTTCGTGGGCGTCTTGGATTAGGGAAGCATCACAGCCTTTTCAACCACGTTACTCCGCCTATCCCAACGAAAGGGCGTCTAAAGCAAGCCTGAGACGCACATAAAGATGCTACATTGCAGTCTCGTCGAAAACTCCGAAAGCTCGCACCTGTAGGGGAGTGGGGGGGGCGGGAGGGGGGCAGGGGGGGGAGGGGGAAGAAAATTGGGTTGGACTGCCTACAGAAAGCCAAAATCCACTGGAGAAGGCGAAAATTCACCGCCGGACCTTGGACCTCATCGACACGTTTCCATTTTTTAGGGGGGGGGGGGTGGCCACGATTTTGGGGAGGGGGATTGAGAATAGGAGAATCCGAATAGGAACCTCTGACCGCTTCGGCCGGGGCTGAGGCAAATTAAGGCCCTCATAAAAATCCCGAAACGCCCAGGCCCAGCTCAAGAGTCTTCTGGCGTGGTTGACCCGAACGTTTGTCCTGCAGCTGCTTGGCGGTTTACAGTACGTACCTTATTTTGGGGTCCTTATAATAAGGATCCTACTATGGGTATTACATTAGGGTCCCCTTTTGTGGGAAACTCCCATTGGCACCAAAGCCTCGTGATCTTAGGGTTTAGGGTTTAGTATTTAGGGTTTGGGGTTTAGGATTTAGGGAGTTGAAGGTTTGGGTTGTAGGGTCTACAGTAGAAGCCCAAAAGTTGGAAACCCAATAGCCTCAATCCTTAAGAGTGATGTATACTTAGAGGATCATGGGACTTAGTAAGTAGGTTATAACTGGGGTTATAAGCCCCCTAAGTGGGGTTATCCTAATTATAGCCTACTTATAACCTTACTTACTAAGTCCCATGATCCTTTAAGTAAGGAAACCCCAGCACTCTTTGGCCTTAATTAATATCCGGTTTCCAACTTTATGGGGTTTACTATAGGTCTCTAGACCCTAAACCCCTAAACCCTAAACCTAGAGTTCCCTTTAAAGGAACCCTCATAGATCCCTTTAAGGGGTTTCCAACTTTATGGGGTTTACTTTAAGGTTTCGGGTTGAGGGTTCGCAAGTCCCAAACGCTCCCAAACCTCCTTCCCTCCCGAATTCGGCGCGCTTCGGAGTTTTCGAATCTGGGGTTATCTCGGAGGCGTCAAAAAGGGAGGGACGAAGGAACCCTTAACCCTAAACCATAAGGATCCCCGTAGCAGGACGCTTATTTGGGATTAATTGCCAAACCCACCTTCATACCACCCGTGGAGCCCTTTGGTTATCGTTGACTTGGAGGATCATGGGGCTTAGTAACCCTAAGGGTCCATGTACTCATCTAGTATATACATTGGCCTCAATGTAGTCCCTATATAGGTGCTTTGGGGCCCATGTATCTCTATATGGGTACATGGACCCTTAGGGTAAGTAAGGTGATAAGTATTCTAATTGGGAATATAAGTAGTAGATATAATTTTATAAGTATACTTACCCTACTAATAACTCGAGATACTACGTAAGTCCCATGATCCTCCAAGTGGGTTCAGGGGATGGGTTTGGATAATTGCCTGAACAGCGGGACCTTCAGAGTCCGCCCTTATCGAGCCTTATACTAGGACCCAGAGTAGGCCCTTATTCCCTTTTTTGAGGGTTAAGGTTCCCTTATAAACCCCTTTAAACCAAAAAGGGCACCCTGTTTCTTCCTAGGTTACTCTTAGGTCTAGTATACCCTACACCCGGACCCCTAAGGGTCCAAAAAAAAACATGCGCATGTTTCTTATGGTTGTTGACACTTCAAAAGACCCGAAAGTTTCAATACTTGTACTTGAACTTTCTCGGTGATTCCCTGAAAAAGAGCTTGAGATAGCCACGCCAGTCTGCCCGCTTCCGCTAAGGCTCCATGTGCCCATATAGTATATACTTAGGCCTTAAAGTACCTTTATAGGGACCCCCTTCGGCCTTAAAGTATCTTTATAGGGACCCCTTTAGGGCTTAAGTATCTACTTTACAGGTACCCTAAACCCCTAAACCCTAAACCCTAAACCCTACATGGAGCTTTCGGGTTCGAGATCCGAGGAGATCGTCCGCGACTTGGCGACGAGCCTGGCCGGGCTTTGCGACGAGCTCTTCGGAGAACATGTCCAGGCCGGGTTTCGACGATGGGTTTAGGGTTTAGGGTTTAGGGGTTTAGGGGTTTAGTGGTTTAGGGTTTCGGGGTTTGGGGTTTCGAAGATTCCTGAGATGCTTCTGTTAAGGGCTCTACTTGGAGGCTCCTGGGTAGTTACAAGTAGGGTTATAAAGTCGCCTAATATTGGTTGGAGTTATAGTCACGCGACTTGTATAGCCCCACGTCTAACTACCCATGAACCTCCAAGTATACGGGTTCCATGAGGGTTTAGGAGTTGAGGACTTAGGGGCTCAGGCTTTTAGTTTCGGGCCAAGGGTGCACTGTGTCGCATCAGGTTCTGTGTAACGGTTGATGATATAAATCCTGCATGACCTGTAGTAAGGAATATACCATAATTCCCATAGTTTAGGGTCCTTGAGGGTATGCAGGATTTATATCATCAACCGTATCAAGCTGTATGGGGGCTTATTAGGATTGTCAGGGGCAGCATAGGGGAGGATCAGCATTGTATAAGTTTCGCGAGGGATTTTCTTGTTGCTGTAGGGTTTCTTGGGCTTCCGGCGTTTCAGGGTGTGTAGGGTGAAGGGCATCGCAGCAGTAGGGAGATGGAGGGTTTAGGGATTCAGGAGCTAGGACCCAGAGTAGGCCCTTATTCCCTTTTTTAGGGTTCAGGTTCCCTTATAAGCCCCTTTAAACCAAAAAGGGCACCCTTTTTATTCCTAGGATACTCTTGGGTCTAGGGAGTTAGCAAGGGATTCAGGGTGTTATGATATGTTTCCAAGGGTAAACGGAGGGACCCTTAATGAGGACCCCTAGGTATATCTCCTTAATATAGCTATTATATACCCATTATATAGGCCAATATAGGGTAAGGGTCCCCATTAAGGGTCCCTCCTTTTCCCCTTTGAGTGGTGTACCCAGGTGCTCAGGATTTCAGGATTTGAAGCTGTATGGGGTAGGAGAATCTAGACACCTGTTCAGTAAACCCCCTCCCTTAACCTTGAGCATCCAAATACATGGGTTGTATAGGGTTTAGGTTCCAGGTTGTCCGGGTTTACGTGCGATGGCAGGGTATGGCTCAGGCATTTACGGCTTAGGATGGTTTCTTTCCATGATGACTTTTTGTCGCCTGGGCTGCAAGCATCTCTAAACCCAAAACGCTAAACCGTACCTTGTTGCAAGCATGGAGGAGAACACGGCATGTAGTGGCACCTACCAGTCAGCTCCTCCCTTGCTTGCGCTTGACAGGTACTATGGAGGCATTAGAAAAGTTAGCACATAGTGATACTGATTGGTAGAATAACGTACGTAGGGTAGTCTATAATCCCTAAGGATCCAAGTAGTCATTATTTATGGCTGATCCGTAATCCCTAAACCCACACCCGAAACCCTGAACCCAAAACCCCTAAACCCTAAACCGTCTTAGTTTGGGTGCGCAGTTGGACTTGGACGGCGAGCTTGGTACCACCCTGGCCTTCGTACCAGAGCATCTCCACTTCGTCCTCCAGGAGGCATGCAGCTCCTTCAGGTTTTTTTGTGGTTTCAGGTCTAATTACTTCAAACTACCAAACCCTACTTTTTGTAGGTTCTTATTATAAACCCTAATATTGAAGTTATAGGAACCCCACAAAAAAAGTAGGTTTTGGTAGGTTAAGGTAGGGGCTTAGGCGTTAAGGGCTTTTTAGGATTTAGACCTGAGGGTTACTAAACCCTAAACCCTAAACCCTAAACCGTGCTCCATCGGCGCTCCTAGGGGATCTTAAAGTCCTTAAGATTCTCAGTGTTCTTGTGCCCTAAAGTAAGAGCCAGAAAGTTGGAAGATCATTATCATAATCCCTTTTAAGATAAAATATAGGGGATCCTGCCAGTTTCCCATATTCCAACTTTCTGGAGTTCCCTTTAAATTATAAGCTCTACCAAAAGAATCATTCGGAATGCATGTGTCGGTCGGTCACCAGGATGCCCGTCTGATAGATCTTGGAGCGGCTCGGAACTTAACATTCTCATCAGTCCAAGGCAGTGAAATTTGTCGGAAGATATAGCCAGTTTTCAGGCAGGTCGCAAAGCTGCGTCTGCAGAGGCCTCACATGTACCCAGAGCCTCCAAAACCCCTTCATTAAGGAATATACCTTAAATTATAGTAAGATCCCTAATATGATTTAAGGTATAGTCCTTAATTAAGGGGTTTTGGAGGCTCTGGGTAGGTGAACCTCTCCATCGACTCTGAGCTTTAGTGTGGGAGGCTCGCAAGCCGTTGCCTCCGCCTTTTCCGCCGCCGGTGGAAGCTTTATGCTTCGGAAACCAAAAAAGTCATTTGGGATGCCTTACCCTGAAGAACTTACCTTTTTAGGGCAAGGCTCCACCAGTACTTGATCCATTCCACAAGAAGTGGACACCCAAGAGCGAGCCGCACACATGGAAGGGCACTAACCTGAGCACCTTTGACACGTTCAACCCTCAGGTGCAAGTGATCAGGAGTTGGAGCAGTGATGAGCTGTACGATGGATCAGGAGATGATTCCCTCGAGCAAGCACGGCCTAGGACCCAGAGTAGGCCCTTATTCCCTTTTTTTGGGGTTCAGGTTCCAAAAAAAAGCTCCTTTAAACGAAAAATGGCACCCTTTTTATTCCTAGGTTACTCTTAGGTCTAGGTCAAGGTCAAGCCAGAGCCTCTTCCCACAGTCAACAGCGTCGAGGAGGGAATGCAGCACACTATAGCCTAGGACCCAGAGTAGGCCCTCACTATCATTTTTTTGAGGCTTAGGTAGGTCTAGTAGCGAGAGTGTTTCCCAATGGGCTGCCCATGATTGTTGTGGCCAACGTGCAAGAGTACGTGTGCGGCTACAGCACTCGCATGTCCCCGCTTACTATGACTCCTTGTATATGTCCTAAACCCTAAACCCTAAACCCTAAACCCCTTAAAAGGGTAGGTTATTCCGGGATTCCGGGTAAACCCTAAACCCGTGGAATTCTTGAGGATCTTAGCCAGGGCCTTATGGGTTCCTGGATGGTTCTTCAAATCGTGTTCTTCTACGGTTGATGATATAAATCCTGCATGACCCATAATAAGGAATATACCATAATTCCCATAGTGTAGGGTCCTTGGGGTAATGCAGGATTTATATCATCAACCGTAGGACCCAGAGTAGGCCCTTATTCCCTTTTTCAAGATTTAGGTCCCTTCTAACCCCCTGTAAACCAAAAAGGGCACCTTTTTTTTTTATTCCTAGGTGACTCTTAGGTCTACCTTAACCCCAAGTAACCTCCCGTTTTAAAGCCTTGCATAAAGAAACATAGTAGGGAACCCCAAAAAGGTAGGTTCCTTAGGGTCCAGGTAGTCTTATAGTAGAAGCCAGAAAGTTGGAACATCAGACTCCTCACGCCCTTAAGGTAAAGTATAAGGGATCCTAGCACTAATCCTCCTAAATCCATGTTCCAACTTTCTGGGGTTTACCATAGGGTTCTGGACATCCCTGGGGTTCTCAACTGAAAGCGGCTCTTGGGGCTCTGACGATGCTCAAGGATTTCGGGATCTACGGTTGATGATATAAATCCTGCATGACCCATAATAAGGAATATTCCATAGTTCCCATAGTTTAGGGTCCTTAAGTTAATGCAGGATTTATATCATCGACCGTAGAACGTTGCGATTCAGGGCTGCTTCGGAGCCTCCAGTCATGAATGTATATAGGCCTTTTTGGGTTTAGGGTTAGAGAGCCCAAGTTATGCTTCCATCAACATCGGGTGTTGAAGGCTTTTCTGGCTTTGTTGATGTTTCGGAGGGTCGAAAGTTTCCTGCATTGAGGGTTCCTAACTGTGGCACATAAGCATGTTCCCCAATGAATGGGTGCTCTGTTGGAGTCACTCAAACCCCAAACCCTGAACAAGGCACACACTGCACGGGTTTAGGGTTCAGGCCTGCAATCTCCAAACCCCCAACCCCAAAATATCCCTAAACCCTACACCCCTAAACCCTGAATCCTAAACCCCCAACCCCAAAATATTCACTAGCGCTTTATGGAGGCCTTCTAAGCACTGCAAGCCCTTCCGTGCATACGAATCCTGGGCCGCTTTACTATGAGAGCCGTCAGCACGCTGAGCCTGGACAGAGAGCCCACAACCCCGCAATGGGAGGTTCCGAACACAGGGGACCCTAATATAGTACCCCAAATAGCAGGATCCTTATTACAAGGACCCCAAATACGGTACCCCTAATTTTCGGAAACCCCCGAATCAGGGGATTAACATGACATGCGATTTTGTACTGTAAGGTCCACTGCTCCCTGTTGGATGAGTTGAGATGCACTCTTACTCAGTGACGGGCTGTTCGTATATTAGCTCTACGTGCCGGATCGCGCCCTGGTGGTTAGGTGTTGCATATGGGGGTTTCCGAAACTAGGGGACCCTAATATAGTACCCTAAATAGTAGGATCCTTATTATAAGGACCCCCAAATAAGGTACCCCTAATTTCGGAAACTCTCATATGGAAGATATTGTGCCGGCAAGCATGGCACCCGAGAAGGGTGCCGGGTTGGGGTTTAGGGTGACCCCGAAAAGCCTTAAAGGGAACTCCAGAAAGTTGGAATATGGTTTCAGGGTAGGATACCTTATAATTTACCATAAAGGGTTTAGGATAAACATATTCCAACTTTCTGGCTTTTACTTTACAGCCCTAAATCCTACAAGCCCTAAACCCTAAACCTTATCAACCCTAAACCCTAAATCGAACCCTCAGAACTCGAAGCCCTGGTCCCTGGCAAACGTTACACTCCACAACCCCAACCACTTCACGTCCTAGCCCCAAGCCCCACAAAATAGAGGTCTGAATAAGTTCCGATGGACGTGCCCGCAGTATCACCCTGTACTCTCCATGGAAACTCTAACATGCCGCCAGGCACTCTCCCAATTGTTCCGGCCCCAATACTATGCCCTGAACCTTCAAAGCCTTTATTATTGAGCCCTTGTCGAGTATTTTGTGCAACCCTTTACTATAGGGGCCTGAATAATTACCTCGGATACTAGTTTGATGTTGGGTTTCCTACTTGTTTATAGTATAATGGGACCCAAAACTTAATTCCAATCATTAAGACCCCTATATTACCTCCCAGCACTGCAGATTCTGAAGAACGCCATGCGCGCAACGCTGGAGCGACACGTGGCCGGCAAGCAGCTGGCTCCTGCCTCTCGACAGCATAGGGTTCTTTTAAAGGGATCTATATGGGGTTCCTTTAAAGGGATCTATAGGGTTCCTTTAATGGGGTTCTTAGTAGGGTCTACTCGGAGGATCATGGGACTTAGTAAGCAACGTTACAAGTACCCTTACTGGGGTCATAAGAAGTTATGAGTATAATTTCCTTAAAAATAAGCCTAGTTACTAAGTCCCATGATCCTTTAAGTATATACTCTCATGGTCCCAAGGACACGACCATAGCATCATGTTTAGTATTCGCGCCTTTCATTGCTAATATTGTGGGCTTTGTTACTTACTATTTTTGCTGCTGCTATCCTTTCTCATGACCGGAAGTGGCACGATTCTTGTGTTAAGCTGTCATTCCTAGTTCTACAAGTAGAGCCGCCTTGGGGCTCTAGAGCTACAAGGGTTCCTTTAAGGGTGCCTTTAAAGGGATCCATAGGGATTCTATAAAGGCATAGGGTTTAGGGTCTATTTGGAGGTTCATGGGTAGTCATCAGTGGGGTGTTAAATAGGATAACTATCCTCACCCATATTAGGGGACTTATAACCCTATTTATAACTACCCATGAACCTCCAAGTAAGCTGGCGGGTCCGACGAAGTCAAGCTTTAAGGGTTCCCTTGCAGGCTTATAGAACGGTTCTATGAGGGTTCCTTAAACTTAGACAGATTATATAGGAGAACTTCAATCGTTTGGGCATTCTATAGTATAACATTTAGTCTATCTTCGAAAGTTAGAGCTTTGTTTGGGGCCGGTTCGTGAAGAAAAGAAAATACTGGGGCACTTGGGTTTAGGATAGATTGCTCATTTGAATTCAGCGGTCCTTCTACGAATTCCATACCCTAAACCCTAGACCTCTGTCGTCAGCCTCCGAAACCTGGGCAGCCAGTGCTCCTTTGCCGTGCCCACGTTGACATGCTTCAAGTGCTAGGACCTAGAGTAGGCCCTTATTCCCTTTTTTAGGGTTCAGGTCCCTTATAAGCCCCTTTAAAACCAAAAAGGGCACCCTTTTTATTCCTAGGTTACTCTTGGGTTTAGAGTGTGGATCCTAAGAACTCGGCACCCTACATTAACTGGGTTCCAGAGTACCATATTTGAAAACCTTTTTTGGGGGTTTAGGGTTTAGGGTTCCTTTCAGGAACCAATATGAAACAAAAGTCTAGACTTTTTTTCTTGCTGGTTACTTCAAAGCCCAGTTCATATCCTCAATCTGGGGCACCCACCAGCCCTGGGGTTCAGGGTTAATGGTCAGATTCTCATCCGAAAACCTGCAAGTCCAGAACGCGCACAAAAGCCGTAGGTTCTTGGATCCGCATGTGTGGTCAACAGCCCGAGTCCTAAGCCTGTCAGGTTACCGTCACCGTGTTGAAAGGGACCTTCGACGTGACCCTGAAGATTTCAGATCGCGGTGGAGGCACTGTAGCCTATTGAGCTCTGAGCTGGACCTAAACTTACCCTTTTCATATACTAGGTATCGATTTGGGATTATTTTAAGCTTCCCCTATTGTTTAATGTATAGCCCGAACTACAACCAATTCTGGGGACTCTTGAAACCGGCACCTAGTATACAAACCCCTAAACCCTGAACCCCCCAAGCCCCTAAACCCCCCGTATAAACCACTAAACCCTAAACTCCCAAACCCTTAAACCCCTAAACCTCAAACCCGTATGAAGCCCAACGCAGAGCTTTGTCAGAGCCAGGAATGCCCCGAGAGCAACTGGGAAGCGTTTGGCGCCGCTTGCTGGCACGGGAAGTCTGCCTTTAGACAACCGCATAAGATAGGGGCCTTAGTATATAATTACCTATACTATTCGTGGGGCTCCTGATTATACTTCTAGTATAATGAACCCCAAAACCCCATTCTAACCATTATCTATATTAGGGTTGTAGAGTGCGTAGGGTATTGTAGAGTTGAGAGTATAGGCTTTCAGAGTTCAGGCTGCTTGTGGATTCAGGTTTTAGGGTTCAGGGCTTACTGGATTTAGAATGTAGGTTTAGGGTTTAGGGTTTAGGGTCAGTTTTGGGTGTTCGATTTAGGGTTTGAGGGTCTTTAAGGTTTAGGGTTTAGAGGATAGCACTAGCAAAAAAAAGGAAAACTGATGGTGTCATGTTTTCTGAAAACCGTTTATCATTATATAATTAGTTACTTGTTAAGACCCCTATATGAAAAGCCTTGTTCCAGTTACGAAGCCCTATCATGACTCTCCCAGAACAACCTGTTGAAGGCCCGTTGGAACGCCATTGCAAATCGTTCTTGTCAAGACAAAATAAGTCTGATAACATCGGTAGCACCCTCTAAGTGACTCTAACTCACTGTAACTAAGTCTAACCTGTACATAGCCTAGCCTGTACCCTGCACCTTAAGCTTTAGCCGTAAGCCTTGGGCCGTAAACCCTGAACTCTCAAACTCATCGGCGAAGACTGGAAAGCCCCAGACGGCCCAAGGCTACGGCTACACCAGCACAAAGCAACGGTCGCCGCTGAAGCCCAGGGTGCGGTTGCCTAGCAGACCACCATGCTTCTTACAGGGTTCCGAGTCAGGGGCGAATTGGTTAATGTCGGGTGTCGAAAGAAATAAGCTACTAATAGTAACCCGTAGTAATCCCCTAGAGTGTTAATGAAGCTACGGTAGAGTCGACTCAAAAGCCTGGTTTTAATTATTCACGCCACTGTTTTGCCGTCCTTGGTGTGACTACAAGCTCGTCTACATGGTTTGTTGTATGCTGGTACGTGGTTATTTGCAGATTCGGATAGGGTTCAGGGCCTTGGCTTCCGTGTTTGAGGGTTCAGACATTGGGCGTTGCAGGTCGTCCGTGGTTTTGATGCCTGTTCTGTCTGTTTGCCTCTTAGCCCTTAGGCTGTAGTCAGCTGGTACTGGAGGGGCTCCAGGTTCGAGGGGCTTTAGAGTTTAGGGAAAGCTTAGGGTGTAGGGTTTAGGGTTTAGGGTCGTCATTTCAGGATTTACTGCGAATCTAGGACCCAGAGTAGGCCCTTATTCCCTTTTTTTAGGGTTGAGGTTCCCTTATAAACCCCTTTAAGCCAAAAAGGGCACCCTTTTTCTTCCTAAGTTACTCTTAGGCCTAGAAAGGGTCCTAGACTTGGCGTCGTGCTTCCGCGGGAATTTCACCCAGTTGATTCAGGGTGGTAGGGGGGGATGCTTGCCAGCAGCCGTTCGAGTCCATGTAACTACGAGCTATTTGCTCCCTTCAGAACACAAGCCTACAAAAGAAACATCCTAAATGCAAAACGTCTTTCTTGGGCACCTTGGACCCGCAGGACACTCTGTGTGTGCTTTTGTGTGATGTCGGCTTTGCAAAGGTAATGGTGTTTCCTTGGGTGCTTGTGCTATAAAGCTCCTCTTGGGACATGTAGAAGCCTGAGCAATTTGTAACGATTTCGGACAGTACTATTCCGTAGCTCCATGCTATAATTGTAGCTCAATAATGTACAGCAAACCCTATCCTATGTAAACACCGCTGTTTCTTGTGTATGTCGGCTTTGGTAGATTGGGTTTCCTCCGTTAGGGATCTCTGGTTAAGGATCTCCAGCAAACTTTTTATGCAATGTGTTGTTTGCCTTCGAAGGCTCGGGTTCAGCGGTTCGGGTCTGGGTGTGAGGGTTGAGAGTTGATGGTTTGATATTTAGGGTTGAGGTTTTACGGTCGAGGGTTGGGGGAGTGTTCATAGGAAGCCAGGGCTTGTTCAACCCATGTGTTGAAAGCGGAAGCTGCTAGATAAAGCCCGTGGCACGCCTTATCGTAGGACGACTTTAATGAAAACCCCAGAAATGCCACCAATTTCCGAACTCAAACTTTCGCTTAAATCCACTAAGCCCCTAAACCCTTCAACCCTAAACCCCTAAGCCTAAACCTAACAAGGACGACTTTGACAACCTTTGTGGCCGTGATCCAGCCTCCATGCGACGCCTCGCAGGTAGCGACGGGCTTTGATCCCTTTGACGAGTGGTCCTTTTCAGGGGTTTCCAGGGTTTAGGGTAGGGTTTATGGGGTTTAGGTGTTAATGTTTAGGGGCTTCTTTTGTCTATCTTAACCCAAGATACTAAGGCTTCGAAGGACCCAATAATTAGGTCCTTAGGTTTCGGATAGTAGCTATGTAGGTTACCGCTTGGGAGGGTGTATGATTATTATTATTTCCTCAACCCAAGATAACCTACCTTTGTTTAGGGTTTCTTTCAAGGGATGTATAGCATGGCTTTCATAGTAATTACCTAGTAGAGTAGGTGAATTTTAAGCTTCAAACCCAGAACCCTAATGTTTGAATCCCCGCCCGTTCGCAGCCATGTTGCAGCAGTTCTTCCAATCTTCGCAAGCCCATCATTGCGCCTCGCGTACAAGAGCTGAACGCGGCGCCCTCGAGCGCTGCTGCCGAGGCCATGGCGTCGCCGATCTGAAGAAAGAGGTGCGCGAGCTGCACACAGCGATCGTGAAAGTCCACCGGACCAGGATAACAAGGAGACCGCGGGACAGGTGAGTGAGCTGCGCAAAGCCACTGACCAGCAGCTCAGATCACGCAGGTTCAGACAGGGCGGTCGTGACAGCCCACCGGCAAAACAAGGAGACCGCGGGACAGGTGAGCGAGCTGCGCAAGCAAAACAAGGAGACTGCGGAACAGGTGAGCGAGACCGCGGAACAGGTGAGCGAGCTGCGCAAAGCCACGGACCAAGGGTTCAAACGGGTTCAGGGGTTTAGGGTTGTATAGGGCTGTTAGAAGTTGTTACAGGCTTTACAAGGCCTGGTAGTTAAAAGATTTAAGTTTTTCTTCAGGGTTCAGCAGGTGTTGTGAAGCAAGCTATGATGGTTGGCCCTCAACTCCTAAACGCTACATTTACATCGCAAGCCCTCAACACCTAACCCTAAACCGCAAATCCTAAATTCCCTAAATCCCAGGCCCTGAATCGAAGGAGGGGCCAGGAGAGAGGGAGGATGAGAAGAAAGAGTAGGGTTTAGGGTTTAGGTTTTAGGGTTGGGTTTAGGGTTACGGGTTTTAGGGTTTAGGGTTGGGTTTAGGGTTTAGGCTTTAGGGTTTAGGGTTGGGCTTAGGCTAGGGTTTAGGGTAGAGTGTTTGGAGTGATGACAGCAGACAGCAACGAAGCGATAGCACTTGCGGGCTTGAGGGTTTAAGTTGCAGCAGCAACAACGACGACGATGACAACAGGAGTAATTAGTGATGCCGTTGCACCGATTATGTCATATGGGAGTTTCCGAAAATTAGGGGTACCTTATTTGGGGTCCTTATAATAAGGATCCTACTATTTAGGGTGCTATATTAGGTTCCCCTATTTTCGGAAACCTCCATATGTCGTTCATATCCCAGAAACATCTGAGTACGGCATGACTCGAAGTGGCCCAAGATCTGACGGTCTTGGAACCCTACTCGCCAGCACCGCAAACAAAACACAGCATGCAAATACACATCAACCGCAGGGTTTAGGGTTTAGGGTTTAGGGTAGAGAGAGAGAGAGAGAGAGAGAGAGAGAGAGAGAGAGAGACACGCCTGAGAAAGAAGCACAGTGTCAATGCTAGCACACACTGATAATCTTGTCAGGGTGAGAACAAGTGCGGTCACACGACACAGCGAATGCTGGCGACAGAGAAGAAGGCTAACAAAAAGCGTGCACCAAAATGTAAGAACAGCTGTACGAATACTGGGCCATAGAGGATCTGGCAGGTAGGCCGCCAGGATCTGAAGCCAGGGAACAGGATCTTACACCGCCCTAAATTCCAAGCCCGAGTCAAACTCCTAAACTCCTGAACCACACAATCCTCAGCCAAACGAAGAAACTGAACTCCTGAAACACAGTGAGTCTCTGCCCGAAGCCGTTTCCCCCCAAAGCCTTTCAAGCTTCCAGGGCCTGCAGTAACTCATCAGCAACCCTGGCCCAGATCTTTGAATTCTGCACCATGTACTACTGTTGATGATACGAGTCCTGCATTACCCATCATAAGGAATATATCATAGTTGACATAGTTTAGGGTCCTTAAGGTAATGCAGGATTTGTATCATCAACCGTAGGACCCAGAGTAGGCCCTTATTCCCTTTTTGAAGGCTTAAATTCCCTTATAACCCCTTTAAACCAAAAAAGGACAACCTGTTTGTTCCTAGGTGACTCATAGGCCCCTAAACCTTAAACCCCTATAGATCCCTTAAAGGAACCCTTGTAGCACCCTTTAAAGGACCCCTAAACCCCCTAGGTGACTCTTAGGTCTAGAAAGCCTTACAGAGTCCCACTGCCCACAGTGCTAGAATCCTACCCTCTACATCCACGAACCCTTAAAAACTAAACATCTGAATCCTAAGCCATCCCAGTAAACCCAAACCCTAAGAACCCTATAAACCCTGCCAACCTCAAGAACCTTATAATCCCCGACTAACCCAGAAACCCCATAAACCCTAACCCCTAAACCCCATAAACCTTGAGCCCTAAACCCTAAGCCCTTGATTCCTCGCTTTGACAGGCTATGGCTTCGGCCTCCCTTTGTCTCGTGTCTATGCCAGGCACCCTCCTCCCGGGGCTTCAGGGAATATGGGTCATAGGGTTGAGGGTTCTACAATGGCTCCTATGAAGGTTCTATAATTAGGGAGTATGGGGTTCAGGGGTCTAGGGTTTCGGGGCTTCAAGGAATAGGGGGTTTTAGTAATTAGGGGCTTAAGGGTTTAGGGTGTAGGGGTTTAGATTTATGGCTTAGGCGTTTAAAGGTTTAGGGTGTTGGTTTTCAGGGTGTAGGGGTTTGGGGTTTGAGGGGTGCAAGGGTTACAGGTTGCGGGGTTTTGAGTTAACCGGCTTAAGCATTTAGCTTGTTTGAGACCTCCGAAACTTTCTGCACACGCCATCAAGTTCGGAATGGCCAAACCTCAGATACTAAAGCTCATTATAGTTCCTTTTCGGGGTTAATTACCCTATGGGATCCTAAATATAGAGGTGGTTAAACCAAACAAGGAACGGAGACTACCTAGGACCCAGAGTAGGCCCTTATTCCCTTTTTTGAGGCTTAGGTTCCCTTATAAACCCCTTTAAACCAAAAAGGGCACCCTTTTTATTCCTGGTTAGGGAAGCATGCCCCGAAACCACAAATGATTCCGGCATCCTTCAACTATCAAACACCGAGACCCCAGCAGGACCCATAATGGCCCTTTAATGGAGCCCTAGGGTAGGTGGGGGGTTTAGGCAGAATGCAATTCATACTTGAGGGCTCGAGGGACTTGGTAAGTGGGGTTCTATTTGGGGTTAGAGGTGCCTTCAGTGGGGTTATCCTGAGTTTAACCTTACTTATTACCTTTACCTCACATACTAAGTCCAACGAGCCCCTAAGTACCCACTTCCTGTAGGGGCCTCAACGCCGTAAACCCGTCCCTAAACCCTAAACCCTAAGGTACTTCGGCGGAGACATCCACATCCAGTCTATGGAGGGGCTAGGAACGGATGTCTACGTCACTTGGCAGTCGATGTGGAGGTGTGTATGTAGGGTTAGAGTTTAGGGTTGGATGGCTGTAGGTTTAGCGTTTTCTGGTTTCGGGGTCAGGGTTCTTCTTCAAGGCCCTAAACCCGAAATCCTAAACGCTAAACCCCAAACCCTTGAACCCCTAAACCCTAAACCCCGAACCCTAAACCCAAAAAAACCCTGAACCCTAAACCAGGGTTAGCTACTTAGGATTTGGGCTTCAGTCAGGGATTTCGGTCTCAGGGCTTATGGCTCCGTCCTACCGTCTCTCTAAGGTTAGAAGTAAGTATCCCCCTTTTAAGGAGCCCTTTAAGAGTCGAGGCTTGGAAAACCCATAGCCTCAATCCTTAAGAGCAAGTTATAGGGAATCCCAGCACTATTTGGCCTTAATCCGGTTTCCAACTTTATGGGGTGTACTATAGGTCTCTAGACCCTAAACCCCTAAACCCTAAACCTACAGTTCCCTTTAAAGGAACCCTCATAGATCCCTTTAAAAGGGTTTCCAACTTTATGGGGCTTACTGTAAAGGAACCCAAAACCCTATTCTAATTATTGAGGCCCCTGATGTGGATCCTTAGGTTTTTGAGGGAGTTCTAGGGGCCCTTAAGAGTCTATACAGGGTATATATATATATATATATATATATATATTAGGTACGGCCCCCACTCAGAAATAGTTGAAGAATATTCATAATATAGATCTAGTAGGTCCTTAACAGTAGCCCTATTTATAGACTCTTACTATAAGGGGGGCAGTACCTAATATATACCCTAAACCCTAAACCCTAAACCCCAAACTCTAAACCCTAAACCCTAAACCCTAAACCCTAAACCCTAAAACCCTAAACCCTAAACCCTAAACCCTAAAACCCTTAACCCTAAACTCTAAACCGTATATAGTAGGTATTTAGGGATCCCAAGGTTATCGGGGCACAGGGCTTCAACCATTGAGTCTCGCTTCTCCTCCAAGGTTTGGGGTCTACAGGGTTTAGGGGTTTAGGGGTTTAGGGTTTAGGGGTTAGGGTTTAGGGGTTGATTTTGGGGGTTAGGGGTTTAGGGTTTAGGGTTGAGGGGTCTACCAGTACCCCCCAACTACCCTTTAATGGAGCCCTTACCCCGAGGGTCCAAAGGACCCAACAATTAGGTACTCGGTTTTAGGATAGTAGTTATGTAGGTTAGGATGTTGGAGACTATATCTAGGACCCAGAGTAGGCCCTTATTCCCTTTTTTTAGGGTTGAGGTTCCCTTATAAACCCCTTTAAGCTTTTTCTTCCTAAGTTACTCTTAGGCCTAGTAGAGGTTATTTGGGGGGTCTAGGTAGGGTTGTGGAATGGACAGTTAAGTTTTTTTGGTTCTCGTGTTCCTAGTTCAGTATCCAGTGTTCAGGTTTATGGCCAAGGGTTCATAGGGTTTGCGGTCAAGGGTGCAGGGTTAGTAGGTCATGTTCGTCGCGACCAGAACAGCTCCCTCTTTGCTTTGCAGAAGGGTCTAGGGTTTATGGTCATTTTGTTTCGGTTTTCCGGAAACCCACATCCTGCGCAGTGTGTCTTGAGCCCTCAACCGGACAAGAAAAGCCCTTAACCACAACCTTCTCAGGTGAGCATCAACCATTTGGGCGACGTGTTGGAGTGGCTTTGCCTTGCATAAAAACTCCCAAGCCTACAATAAAGTCTAAACCCTATACTGCTTTTGATGGGTTGAAGGTCATGCGTGGAGTCTTCGCGGACTTCAAGATTTCGGGATTGAGGGTTCAGGGTTTCTTTGAGTACCACACCGTGTGTTTTTTGATGTTGCGTGGGCATTAATGAGTGATTTACCTAGAACCCTGATTAATGGCCTCCCCTGCCTTACCTAAGGGTCCATGTGCCCATATAGTATTTGCTTGTCCTCAAGCTAGTTCCCATATAGGTACCTTTGGGGCCAAAGTATATCTTGTTTGGGCACATGGACACTTAGAAGCCATAATATAGGGACCCAAATTACCAATACTATTGTGGGGTTCTTTATCATAATCATTAGTAGAATCTTTCCCCAAACCCTCTTCTATTTGTGCGGGTCTCTACATTACCCACAGGGTCGAAACTGCTGATGGACAATATCCTGCATGACCCATTATCAAGAATATACCAAGGTTCCCATAGTTTAGAGTCCTTAAGGTCATGCAGGATTTTGTCCATCAACAGAAGGACAAGGATTATCACGAACGGAGTCCTACGATTAACAGCCCTACGGACTTCCTCACAGCGAGCAGTTCGACCCTTCTGTCAGGTTTAAGGTTTAGGGGATTTGTGTTTGGGGGTTTATGGTTTAGCGGTTTATGTTTAGCGGTCTATGTTTAGGGGTTTATGGTGAGTATATCTATCCATCTGCCTAACCATCGATCTATCTATGACCATTTTAAGGTGTGTAACATACCGGCGATGGTCAAAAAACAGTTTGTTGAACAAAAACGGCAGCAATTACACTGGAGATCCAGGTAAATTTCAATAATTCGTAATTACACTGGAGATCCAGGTAAATTTCAATAATTCGTGCTTCTGTGGCTTTTTGGTTCCTCATTACTCCTGCGCGGGGTTTCGTACCCGCAATAATTAAACATAGCGGAACATCGAACTCCCTTAATCCCAAACCAGGGCGGCTTAGAGACTCGGGCCTGGTGCATGTTAAGCCGGTTTAGGGTTTAGGGTTTAGGGTGTAGGGTTTAGGGTGTAGGGTGTAGGGTTTAGGGTTTAGGGTTTAGGGTTCTGTTAAGCCAGCTCATTCCTAAGTTACAAAGCGTTGTTTTCTGCCAGGTTGTAGATGTGTGTATGGAAGGAGACTGCTGAACCTTCAGGTGAGTTCGGGGGTGACCTAGGGGTTTAGTGATTTAGAATTGGGGCTTTACTGTTTGGAGTTTAGGGGGCTTTAGGAATTCCGACACCCCAAACCCAGTAAGTCTTTTGGAGTCAGAGTTTCCGCTGTGTTGTCCTGAAGCCTTTATTGTTCAATACCGCACATACCTGACAGGCAGCTCAACCCGCGCATCGTGGCCAGCTGAGCAGCTCCCGCCGAAAATGGAGTCGAGCGTACATCTCTCCTGCCCTCCACCTAGACTCTAGACAAAGCATTAGGAGCCCTGAAGAGGAGGTTTTCGTGTCATGTTACTTTGTTTTTAGATGGTTCCCTTCTTCGAAGCAGAATAGTCGGAAACACGAGGTACTTTGTTTTTGGAATCTTGGTTGCTTCATTCAAAATAGGGGTACTCTTATCTGGGGAGAGCAGCAAGCAGGTGCTAACCCCACACATCACACCCCATACTCCCCCCTACACGTTCACCCCATTTCTCAACCCGTGTAACATTTCAACCTCCAAAGACACCAAACTAAAATGACACTAGCCGAATGCTTTTGTGTACCCTAATTGAGAGAACCACCCTTAAAGAAACCATAAGAAATCCCCCATAAGCCCTTCTGTTTGGACACAAGGGTAAAGTAGTCGTTTTCTTCATGGTGTTCTGTGCCCAAAAAGGCCCCAATGTCCTAGAATAGAAAGCTCTTTCCTTGGACCCTTAGGGCCCCGTAAGTAAGACCGCGCAAAAAACACCAAATCTCCAACACCTTGTAATACTGTCGTAATTTGGGAGTTTCCGAAAATTCGGGTACCTTATGTTGGGGTCCTTATAAGAAGGATCCTACTCTTTAGGGTACTATATTCTAGGACCCAGAGTAGGCCCTTATTCCCCTTTTTTTAGGGTTCAGGTTCCCTTATAAGCTCCTTTAAACCAAAAAAAGGGCACCCTTTGTATTCCTCGGTTACTCTTGGGTCTAGTATTCGGGTCCCCTATTTTCAGAAACCCCCATTTGACGCCCTGGAGGAAGCCGAGCATCCACGTGAGGCCCGCCAGTGTTTTCTAATCTTAGGGGTAAAAGGAAATACTTTTAAGGTTTAGGGTTTAGGGTATTTTTTTAATTCTTGCTTATTATAATCCTAATTTTTAAATTGCTAGGGTTCTAAGTTCAGTAGAGTAATTTTCTATGTTCTGGTCACCCTGACCCCCCGGGAGGATCCAAAAAGTAGATCCCTTAATGGGTGTTCGGTGTTCCTATAAATCATTGGTAGCTCACACTAACCCCGGGGACCAACCCCGGCTCTCCTCAAGAAATGAGCGATAAATGATCGTTAAAATGGCACTAAAAATGTATTATGCGAGCATTATTGGAGCAATAAGTGAGCAATAAACGAACACTAGTGAGAGACGATGTCTGCCCTCCCCCCCTGCCCTGCCTGCCCTGCCCCCCTGCCACCCTCTGCACTTCCCTGCTTTTGCTGCCCTGCCCTGCCTGCGCTGCACCACCCCCCACCCCACCCCACATCCCACCACCCCCCGCCCCACCCCCCACCCCACCCCGCACCCCACACCCCACCCCAGCCCACCCCAAACCAGCTCTAGTTGCGTTTGCAAGAACCAACCCCGCATCAGAGCATTAAATGAGCATTAAATGAGCGTTAAATGAGCGTTAAATGAGCATTAAATGAGCGTTACATGAGCATTACATGAGGAGGTGGTGAAAAGCGGGGTTGCTCGCTCTACCACCCCCCGCCCCGCCCACCCCACCCGCCCCGCCCGCCCCGCCCTGCCCCGCGCCGTGCCCCACCCCCACAACTCACAGTGGGCAGCTTCACGGCACCAAGGTAGATGGTGGGCCGCCATATAAAGCTCATTTAATAGGCATTTAGTCAAGATTGCGGGGTAGGGTCCAGGGGTAGGCTTGGGCAACCTGATATAAAGAGGGAATCTACTTTTTAGATCCTTCCGGGGGTCTGGGTAAGGAATTTAGTTTAGGCTGCGATGAGGAAGCCCTGTTATTTACTGCAGTTCCCTAGTGTAGTAACTGAAGCTCAATTCCTCAACGAGAACACCGGTTTTTGCTCACTTTCTGGTTGCATTACCGGGATCAATAGTATTCGCTAGGGTTCCTTATTATTATCATTCTCGTGCCAAATATTCAAAAACCCTAGTGTAATAGTTGAGGCCACGATGTAGAATCGCAATGGTTTAGGGTTAGGATTTAGATTTACAAGGTTAGGGTTTAGGGCTTAGGGTTGTTTGTGAATAGTGTTTAAAAGTTAGGGTAATATTAGAATCCTTATGTGGTTTGCTTGGGGGGAGCAGTGCTAGTTCAGGTTGGCAATCAGCGACATTCCTGAGGATTCCTGTTTACACTCACCAAAGCCTAAACGGAGGAAGGAAAGCTTTGCTTCATATGGGCGGTTGTCAAAATGATGGTCCCTTTTTGGGTCCCTGGTATAGTACGGCACCTAATATTTAGGGTACCCCAAAACCATATGTGTTTGTTGATTATCAAGAATAGGTTGTTCTTTGTTGTTTGCACTGCTGGTGTCTATCTGCGTTGTCACCCAGGTTCTTCAGACTTACTGCGTAAGCTGGATCCCCGAAGCAACTTCGGCTTTTATGCTGCCCGCATCCCGCCGTGCTGTTGATAGTATAGACATCTGAGCCTTAAGAACAACCTTATTATGGACTTTTGCTGCATGGGGGCAGTACCCAAGCCGGGTGGTTGTCAAAATTAGGGTCCCTTTTTGGTCCCTGCACCTATTACTTAGGGTACCCAAAAAGGAACTTTAATTTTGACAACTACCCAACCATGGCGACAGTGCTTCAGAGGTAAACTCTGTGCCTACGCCAGAGCACCCTGAATCCTGCACCCTTGCAAGTCCCGGTACCTCCTGGACCCAGCATCACTGTGTTCCCTAAACCCTAAACCGTCACCTGAAGCGACAACGACTGAAGCCTCAATCCTAAACTCCGATTTGACTAAAGCCCAAACTCTGCACCATAAATCCGGAGCCTATGACACTTAGTTTAAACCTGAATAATTCGAACAGGGTTTTTTGGGCTCCTTATAGTGTACTATACCCCCAAATCCTATTGGAATTATTAAGGCTCCTTCATTAGTCGAAGCTTTGAGTGACAAACCATTGAACGTCTTTTTAAACTTCCTCCGACTTCTCTAGAGTTTCGAACGTCGGGTTAAAGGGGTCCAAGAACTCAAACGGGAGTTTCCGAAAATTGGGATACCCTATTTTGGGGTTCTTATAGTAAGGATCCCTATATTCAGGGTACAAGATTGGGGTCCAAGAACTCAAAAAAGAATCGGAGGTCTGACAAATGCAAAAGATACTAAAGCTGGTCCCTCAAACCCCTATTCCACTTGTTAATGCCTCGACTATTTCATGCGATGTGTTTCTCCAGTTGCAGTTTTAGCAAAAAAGCCGGGTCATCACTATGCACCGAGATTATATTGCCAAAGAGGCACAAATTGATCTCTTCTCTGTGCCCTAAACCCTAAACCCAACCTTCCGGCTTCCAGAGCAGGGCAAAACCCCACACCGTAGACCCTACCACCGTAGACCCTGCCAGGTACCGAGTAGCGCAGCATTTGCGAAAATAGTTATTGTAGCTGTTCAAGGTACGTTAGTTTAGGGTTTCTATGGTCCAACATGACCATACGGAGCCTTTTGGCACCGGTATCCTTACAAAGAGCATCCATTCTCATGTCTAGATGAGCGCCCTAATCCCCTAAACCCTAACCCCTGCACCCCAACCCCCAAGCCCACTCACAGCCGAGCATGCGCAGCCACGACGG